AATAAGCCCTTCAAACTGTTTTAGCTCACCTTATCCATAATAGAAAGCTAAAGACCTTGCATACAGTCATCATTATAATAGTTACTGCTTATTCAGTGCTTATGTGCTAATCAAACACTATGGCAAGTGTGCTTGGCATATATTATATTCAATCCTCACAACCTGGCCAAGTAGGTATTCGTATTCTTACTTGGATGTTAAAGAAACCAAAGCTCAGAGAAATTGAATAAATTATGTAGTTTTAGCTATTAGGTGAGGAAGGCAGAATTGGAATGTGGTTTTTTTTTTTTTTTTTTTGGTCAGACTGCGATCTAAATTCTCTCACTATTAACTATACTTGAAGAGCTCGAAAACAGAGCTTGCATGTCCAGAGTCAATAACTGTACCCAGATATTCTAAGTGGCAGGGGAGAATAAAACCACCTTAGGTACCCATACAACCCCTTCTGTCCCTAGGTCTTTAGGAGAAATTGCCATTCCCTCACCTTGAGATCTTTGATGACTTCAGGGCTGTTTTCTTGAAAAGTCAAAATTTCACCTTCTTTTTTGGCTTTCATTTTCTTTGTAATTCACTGTAGAAAATGCATGACATTGCATAAGGAAGTTTAAGTTTTGTACACGATACTGTGGATCACCTTTAAGTGATTTCAAGGTCAAGGGAATACCATGAGTGAAGACAAAAGCTTCTCAACTAAAACACTTTGACAGGTCTACACTGTCTAGGAATAGGAACAATTGAGTCACGTAAAGTTCATCACATAGGAAGGTTGATTGGCAACTGTAAATATTCCATATAAAAAAATGTACTCTATTTGGAAGGACCTAAATAGACTGCCTTATTCCCCAAATTGGAAAAGTTAATTGCTCTCACTATGACCTGGAAATTGGCAATTTCCACTTTGCAGTTTGCATATCTCACTCGGAAGTTATTTGCTCTGCCTTCAGGACCATGATTTCTCATTAATCACAGGATAGTAAGTAATAAGTATGAGCAGTACTGAAAAGTAACAAAAGAGCAGCTCTTTAACACTGATTTTTGTGTCAAACACATTTCAGTCTATGTCAAATGCTACATAAACTATTATGTCATAAAATGATTATTATAAATAGCAAAAAAAAAAAAAAAAGCTCCAAAAAACAATTTGCTTGTAGTTGATTCATGACAGAGTAACAGTAACACTGACCCTATAAATTAAGATACTTACTCCCCTGGGGCTGGTGTTGTGGCATAGCAGGTAAGGACACCGACTGCGAAGCCAGCAACCCAAATGGGTACTGTTTTGAGACCCAGCTGCTCCACTTCTGATCCAGCTCCCAGTTAATGGGTCTGTGAAAGCAGCAGAGGATGGTCCAAGTGCTTGGGCTCCTGCACCCATATGGGAAACCTCAGGGCTCCTGGCTTTGGCCTGGCCCCAGCCCTGGCTGTTGTGGCCATTTGAGAAATCTCTCTCTGTGTGTCTCTCCCTTTCTCTCTCTGTAACTCTGACTTTTAAATAAACAGATATACCTTTTTTAAAAAAGATAATTATTCTACTCTGTGTATCTTTTGAATAACTTTCAAGGAAATAGTCTCTTAGAAAATACAATTCCAACTATGATTTGAATAAATAAATCCAATATTATGTTTGATATATACCAGGAGGTAGGTGGGGTGGATGTTGGGAAAATTTCCAATGTTTTTCTGAAAAATTATTTAATGAACACAATGAATCATGTGATATTAATACATTGGGACAGCACTACAGCTTGAAAATAGAAATTTATTTTGAACCCACAGTATTATACGCCCTTGCTGATTTTCAAATTTCCTTTTTTCAGCACATAATTATTTTCCTAATTAACTAATTAGACATTTTAGCAGGCTTAAAGATTACAAAGGTTAAATACATAACTATTTAATGGTTACTGTTACTAAAGATATGATGTTAATAAGGGTTGAGTTCCCAAACGTGTTTTACATTTTTCCTTAAGAATATAATTCCATGTTAGGCGATGTTTTATTATAAATGTTAGGGGTGGGTGGAGTGGGCACAGATCCCAGGTCTCTACTTTGAAGTCTAGAATTTTATGGACAAAAGTGTAGTATTTCCACATAAGTGCATCGATGTTAACAAAAGTCTGTTTATTAACCACACACAACAAGGCATGTGCCTTATCTACTGCAGGATTGGCTCACTCATGCTGAGTATTGCTGGTCTTGAGGAGGAAGTCAGTTTGTCTGGAACTAGAGGTGAATAGGGGAGGATAAGGCATATAGGACATTTTGCTCTGCAGAAATTTAGGGTCACTTGTGTTTCACATTCATTCATTCACTCAATCATTCATTTATCAAAGTAATCTTTTTTAAAAAGATTTATTTATTATTTATTTGAAAGTCAGAGTTACAGAGAGAGAGGGAAGAGACAAAGAGAGAGAGAGAAAGAGAGAGAGAGAGGTCTTTCATCTGCTGGTTCACTCTCTAGATGGCCTCAATGGTCAGGGCTGGGCCAGGTTGAAGCCAGGAGCCAGGAGCTTCTTCCAGGTCTCCCTTGTAGGTTTTAGGGCCCTAAGCACCTGGGCCATCTTCCACTGCTTTTCCCAGGCAACTGGATCAGAAGTGGAATAGCTAGGAAACGAACTAGAACCTATATAGGATGCTGGCATTGCAGGTGGCAGCTTTAATGGCTATGCCACAACACCAGCCCCAAAGTAATTATTCTTTCAGCATATAGTTATTGAATCCATACAATGTGCCAGGAAAAGAGCTAGGTACATTATATGTATTATTAATCTATTAAGCATCCAGTAAATATTTATTGATCTCCTAGAATGTGCCTGTGCTGTATTAGAAACTGACAGTTAATCATAGGATAGGCATAGCTTTTTTTTTAAATTTATTTGACAGATAGAGTTAGACAGTGAGAAAGAGAGACAGAGAGAAAGGTCTTCCTTCTGTTGGTTCACCTCAAATATGGCCGCCACGGCCAGAGCTACGCTGATCCGAAGCGTGGAGCCAGGTGCTTCCTCCTGGTCTCCCATGTGGGTGCAGGAGCCCAAGCACTCGGGCCATCCTCCACTGCCTTCCCGGGCCACAGCAGAATGCTGAACTGGAAGAGGAACAGCCGGGACTAGAACCCAGTGCTCATATGGGATGCCGGTGCTGCAGGTGGAGGATTAACCAAGTGAGCCACGGTGCCAGTCCCCAGGCATAGCTTTTGATCTCACAGCTTTCCTGGGGTTTTTGAGGGGGAGAGCCGACCATGGTCTGAATGTTTGAGTCCTCCCCAAGTTCATGTGTTGAAACACAATCACCAAGATGATGGTGTCACGAGGTGGAGCCTCTGGGGTGAGGAGGTCATGAGGGAAGAACTCTCATGAATGAGATGGGTGTGCTTTGAAAAGAAACGCCAGAGAAATGCTGTACTCCTTCCACCATGTAGACACAGAGGAAAAACGCATTCTACAGACCAGAGAACAGGCTCTCACCAGACACCACATGTGCCGGCAACTTGATCTGGGACTTCACTATCTCCAGAACTGGGAACATAAACCTCCGTAAATTACAAGCCTCCCAGCTTAGGTATTCAGTTATAGCAGCCAGAATGGACTAAGACAGCGATCAGTCATGCAGAGGTCCAAATTGTGTGGGACCTGCAACTTAGGCAATTTTGGAAGTCCTAGTTGCCAAAAAGAAGATTTAATTACAAACCCAAACCTATGCACGTGTATGGCCCTGATGCTGAAGATCTACGAACCTCAGAGGTTGTGTGTGCCGTGAGCTATTTCATAGTCTACATCTGTGTCTCCCAATTGGTGGGTCCCCAATCACTGGAAATCTACTTCTTTGGGGACTGAAAAGCATTTAAGTCTTCCAGTGTCTTTTAATACATGCAAATTCCCCTAAATGAGATCACAGCTTAAGGTGTTATTATCCCACAGGGGGCCAAGTAGGTGTCAAATAAATATTGAATTCATTAATTAAAGGGGTAAATGGAACCTTGCTAGTGAGGCACAGAGTAGAAAAACGTAGGGTGAGGGAGTTTCAGGGATGCTAACTGAAAACAAAATGTATAGGGAAGGCAGGAGCATTCTTTTTTTTAATGTTTTATTTATTTATTTATTTGAGAGGTGGAGTTACAGACAGAGAGAGGGAGAGACAGAGAGAAAGGTTTTCCATCCATTGGTTCACTCCCCAAATGGCAGCAATGGCTGGAGCTAGGCTGATCCCAAGCCACGAGCCTAAAGCTTCTTTTGGATCTCCCATGTGGGTGCAGGGGCCCAAGTGCTTGAGCCATCTTCTACTGTTCCCAGGCCATGGAAGAGAGCTGGATAGGAAGAGGAGCAGCCAGGACTAGATACTGGCACCACAGGCTGAGGATTAACCTACAGTGCCACAGCGCCGGCCCCTGGGCAGGGGCATTCTAAGTATGGCACCTTCCTCTGTAAGGTCTACCTGCTGAAGGTGAGGAAGTTCCGTTAAGGTCCTCAGTAATTTTGTCACCATTGCTAGAGCAAAGCCCCCAGGACACTGGGGTGGCCCCAGCATATGTGATCAGATCTCCCCAGGGCACAACTTGCAGAAGAGATCATTATCCATTCATTAATTATCCACTCTTGACTAGAACCTCACTCCACAGAATTCCCATTATGTCCAAATAATATTTATAGTAGCGAGTCATTTCAATGTACTTTGTTTCTATTTTTTCAATAGAAACAACACATGTAGGTTAGTCAGCCAAAGGCCAGCCACAGGGAGACAAAAGGGTCAGTGAAGCTGAGGGGCATGGATGCCAGCAACTAAGAAATGAGTGGATGGAAGCCCAGGAGAGAATGAGATGAGGCCAAATTCAAAGAGAAGGCTGTGCTCAATTATAGGAAGAGAGAGTGTGGCTGGGCCACAGTGGCTTGGCCAGCCTGGCCTGTGTGAGAGAGGTCACTGGACATGCTCCCTAAGAGGCTCATGGTACTGAACACTGCTTACCTAACAGGGATTCTGTATGCTTCATGGAGAATTGTGATGTAATGATTTTTAATTCCATGAAATAATTTAAAGATAGAAATACAGCCCCCATCAAAACCACACATTCAGTCAAGAAGATCTGGGACTAATGTTAGAAATTTTGCCATCTATTTGGAGGAGGCTGATGGAAATCCAGTGGCTCTGGAATTTTAAGGGAGATAATGCAGAAGGCATGCCTGTACTGAAAAGGAAAAAAGGTAGAAAAAAAATAAAAACAATTTTTAGCGGTCTGGTGCTTACTGTACCCCAAAGTGTGTCAGGAAGCCTTGTTTTTTTTTCATAGTTTTTAGGGGAGATTTCAGCTTTCTCTTAGTCATGGGGGAATGTGGTCATTCATTCATCTATTTGTTCATTACTTCGTTTGTTCATAATTCTTAAGCATCCCAGGTTCTCATAGTCTGATCTCCCTACTCACATCAAGAAACACACTTCAATGTCGTTAAGAAAAGGAGGTAGGAAGGAAGGGAACTCCAAGTTATTTTTAAGATTATTTATTTGAAAGGGAGAGAAAGAGAAATCTTCCAGAGGTCTGCAACTTCCAGGGCTGTTGGGTCTCCCATCTTGGTCTCCCATGTGGGTGGCAGGCACTCAAGCATTTGATTCGTCATTAGCTGCTTCTCAAGCACATTCATGAAGCCGAAAACAAAGTGGTATGGCCAGAGTAGCCAGGAGACAGGCATCCCAAGCAGCGGTTTAATCCCTATTTCTAAGATGTTACTTAAGAGTTATCACCAAAACCAAGATTATAAATTATAATCATCTTGTATTCTATTTCATCCTTTCCCTGCTGCAGTTCTATGAAATCGTTTTCCTTCCTTAATTTATAAATAAAAGAGGTTTATTAAGCACACAGTTTTCGAGGTTGAAAGTTCAAGATTGTGTGGCCTCATTGGTTCAGCTTCTGGTGAGGGCCTCCTGGCTGGGTCACCACAAGGCTAATAGCACCATGGCAAAGCATGTGCCAGAGGGAGAGATCATGTGACAGAAAACCAGAGGCAATAGTGAGTGTCTAGTCTTGCTCTTTTATAAAACCTTCTTGCAGGAACTATCTTAATTTCCTCTGAGGGCGGCACGTTCACTGACCTAAAGGCCTCCCGCTAGGCCCCACATCTAAAAGGTCTCAATACCTCTTAACATAACCATTCTGGGGACCAAGCTTCCAACACATGAACCCTTGGGATACAAAGTACATGCACCGCACTTCACACCTGGCGTTCAAGCTTCACGTCCGTCTTACAATGCAAAGTGCATTCACCCATGCCCATAGTCCCAAATTCCTAATTAATCCAGCATAACTCAACCTGCACCACTCTTAGCTATCTCCTTCTCAAAGAAAATAGTTCAAATCAAACAAACTACAAGTTCCCCCTTATCTCTCCTCAAACCTCAGCTTGTTCCACTCTCTTGTCTTGAAAATACAATGTTATTCTGACCTCCCTCAGTAACTCCCCACTTTGCCTCCCACATGCTGAAAGAGGTCCTTTCCTTTTCTACCTTCTATTTAAATCTACAGGAGAAAAGTCCAGAAATCTTCTGAGGAGAAGAACAGGAGATTGAAAGGACAGTCACCTCTACTAGGTTTGGGACACTTACAAATGAATGGCTGATGCCTGAATCAATCCCATGTTCATTCTAGGTATGGATAGTGAGCTTCTATTGTGTGCCAGACACCACACCAGGTTCTGTGGACATAGAAGTGGGTAAGACATCATACCTGCCCTCCAGAAGTTGAGCAGATTGGTGCATTAGGCAAAGAAGCAAACAATTAATTACAACACCATGTGATAAGCAACCCTTCCAGATATGTGCACAGACCTCTAAGGGACCTTGGCTGGAGCAGGAGAGGTGAGCTATTCTGAAAACTGGGGGAATATTCTAGGGAGAGGCATCTTCTGAAACAAAGTTATTAGGGGTCAGTTGGGTTGGAACAGGGATGCACAGAGAGGACTGGAATGACCGTTTTCCAAGTTGATGTACAGGGGACATTGCAGAACGGAGACATTTTCACTGTGGCACTTACAGGTCCTTGTCCCTACAGTTTTCCCTTTCTTCTGACCTTCTCTTGCACATAGAATTTTAACTCCCAGCTGCCTCACTCCACCTCTGCTGATAAAATCCAGATAGTTCAATGTCTGCTAATCCACAAGAATAATTCCTCCCCTTTCCTGCTAAAGCCTATCACCATTCCACCCTCTTCATCAGTTAGAATGCCCTACAAAGTCTTCTCATGACTTGGCCTTCTAGAATAGAGGTTCATAATAAGGATGTCTGATCTATTTTACTACATCAAGGTGGTAGCAGACCATTTCATTTGGGAAACTACATGGTTCTGCATAGCTGAGTACGAAAATATGGAATGGGGACAAGAGCAGTAGGGAACAGGGTCATTGAGGTAACCAAGGAAATGCAATTTATGGCAGGACTTGAAAATAATCTTCAAGATTAGGACTTTGTCCTGAAGACGATCAGGATCCACGAAGCAAGAGAGTGGCTTGGAACTAAGACTGTGTTAACTTATGGTCAGAAAATGGGGAGAAAGAATAATGGGAGCAAGGATAACGTTTAGGAGGTAGCTGCAGCGCACCAGGTGAGAGAAGAAGGTATCCACTGGGGATGCTGGCTCAGGCCTGATTATACCTGCTCCAGAGGACACCATCCTCTCTCCTTTAACTGCACAATTGTGTGACTACAGTGAAGAGCCACTTGGTATCTTCAGTACAATCAATGCCACATAATTGGTATTCTGTAATAATTCATTGCTTTGAATGGAAATGTTTTGGAAGTAACCATGTTTGGGGTTACATAAGTGAGGGATGGTGCAAGAACATACTGCCCTAAAAACCAGAAGAAAAGTTGTATTTTTCATTTTCTATGATGTGATCTAAAAACATTACAATAATAGAACTTATCAAATGACTGTTTACTCTTGTGTCTGTTGTAGCTTGCAATTCTGACTTATGGATATTTTATTAAGATACATATGAAAAAACTACCCAGATTTTGCAGTTTTACTACCATCTAGGCCAAAAAAAAATTGTAAATATTTGCAAGTAAATTCTTCAGGTGAGACTGATGGTCTGTAGTATTTTAAAGCTTGATGGGCTAGCCCTTCAGAATTGCCTGTTGTTTCTCTACATTGTGTTCTCTAGCAAAGCCTTTGAACATCTATGTAGCATGCTTATAGAGTGTTAGCAGATGCTAAGACACTTTATTAGCTGATTTATTGAGCCATTGAGGGTCATTCTTTGAAAAATTGATAGAGAAATCCAGACATAGTAGAAGTTCGAGAAATCAGACATCAAGCTTTGGAACAATGGTAGCTAGTAACCTTCTCTTTTTGTGAACATACCAACCTAATTCAAAACAGAGCAATGTCTGTGTGAGTGGTTACAGTTTATTTTCTTTTCAGTTAAAGAAATTTCAGGAAAAGTATGAGAGAGAGAGGAAAAAGGGATGAGAAAAAGACAAAGACAGAGAGGAATGCAAGTTCAATTTGTGTGTTATAGGAAATACAAATGTACCTGGTACATTCTTGCAATTTGTCCCTCTTTAGATCTTTTGTTAAGAAGTAACTTTATTTCTGTATGCAGCTAAAGTTTATATATATATATGTAATATGCATATATATGCATATCACATAAGTATATACATATAAAATGAGTCACAAGATAATAACCTCCTCTAAACATCTGGAATGAAGGTTGAATTTGCCAGGAAAAAAAAAGGAAAAAGAAAAAGCTTTTTAGTTAGGTGGAGTAGGAAGTATAAATAAATGGCTGGATTAGAGGGGCACTTGGAATATCTTCCTCCCAAAACCACATTTGATGACTAGAACTTGGCATCTGTTCCTTTCAGCAATGCATTTTGCTTTTCGGGGTTTTATGTTGAGTGCAAATAGCCCTGGAAGAGTGAATGGAAGAAAGCCACTACCTATTTAGTGTGAATGTGTTTTAATATGTCCTCCTTAGGACAGACAAAATAAAGTAGAAATGATAAAACTGGGAGGGGCAGGACAAAAAAGACAAAGGGCTTACAAGGTGATCAAATAGCCACTGCTTGGCACCCCTTCGTTGCCACTCTGTAGTCAAACAGGACTAGATTACCGCATTGCTACTAGTTGTTTGGGTATCCCCCAAAGACGTGTTAAAGGCTTAATCCCCAAAGTCTTACGTTAAGAATTAACAGATTAATGCTAATGATTAACAGATTAAAGGAGAAAATTGAATTGAATTTATGGTGCCAGAAGGAGGAGCCTTGGGGAAATAGTTAGATTGGATTATGCTACTGGTGAGGAGACTTCATGATGGAATCAAGAGTTCTTTATAAGGGAGAACACAGTGACATGGATGATGACAATCATGCTCTTTGCATCTCTGCTTCCTGCCTCATCATGTGATTCCTTCCCTCACCCATGATCCTGGTCCACTGCCATCCTCCATCCTTGGCAGATGAATGAGGCAAAGGGGCCTACCCAACCTTGAATATTAACCTCCAAAACCTTGAGCCAAAATAAACCTGTGGCTTCACAAGTTAGCTTATCTTAGGTATTTCATTGTAGTTGCAAAAACCTGCCTAACACACTAATTTCACAGTTTTCTCCATGTGTTACCATGTTGCTAAAAGAACATCACACCTGATTGTTAGTTCATGTAATGATTTTCTCTTAAAATTTACAGAGCATAAGATGCTTTAATAACCAGGAGGAACCCAACCTACTGACTCTCTAGAATCCTATCAGATCATGAATCATCAGACATCTGATTAAAATTGTCCATGTTCTGGATCTTCTCAAAATTTGTTTTGAATTTATATTTAAGGAGAAATCTCCCATTGGTTTTCACAATGCAAAAAGTCACAATCAGGGGAAATAAGGAAACAATGGCAGAAATGCTCTCAGTCATTGGCCAACACCTGACTTTATTGTGCAAAGAATGGTGTCAGAAATATGATTTTTTGGATGCCAACTTCAACAAGTCATTGCCATTTAAAAAAACATGATGGGCAGTTCACATTGCTCATTAATACCACAGCAACTGGGTTTCAAGGTCTGATTAAAACTAAGTGGCTAGATTTGCATACAATAAATGAAAAAAGTGACTTCCAACCCCAATCTCACAGGCCTAATCAGCCTCACAATACAATATCATTAAAAGTTGCATGCTAATTATACTTAATTGTTCCATGCAAACAGAAGCCACTTCTTCCAGAAGATAGAAATTTTCCAAAAGCTGAAGTCTTGCTAATTTATCTAAAAAAGACTCAAGAAACTTAGGTCACCTAGAAAGTAAGATTGAGAAAGTGCAAGAAAAATCTCCCAGGAGTTTGTTTTTGCTTTGTTTTGTTTTTCTAAATTATGAAAAGGTCCAACTTTTTTTATTGAAAGGGTTCAGTCCTTCAGTAAAGAAAGACAGTTAATTTAACCTGCTTATTAATTCTACTCATTGACAAAATGAGAAACTGCAAAATTAAAAATAAATAAAATGTGTTCATCGTATTTTCAGTTCAAACATATTATTGATAGCATTAAATCCCAACGTGGCCTTTTTGAATTGTTCTGTAATTAATCCTAGAGGGTCACATGGACAGTAAAATATGAGACATGTTTTATGAGAACACCAAACTGATCTATGCTCAATACTGTAAATCCAGTGATCAATTGCCAGTAGTCAAATAGGGGAAAAATGGCTAAAATGAATACCATGAATAAATGGATTGCTAGAACAACATCTTATTTATTTATTATTTATTTATTTGAAATGCAGAGCTACAGGGAAGCAGAGGCAGAGAGAGAGAGGTCTTCCATTCCACTGGTTCACTCCCCAAATGCCCACAACGACTGGAGCTGCGCCGATCCAAAGCCAGGAGCCAGGTGTTTCTTCCAGGTCTCCCATGTGGGTGGAGGGGCCCAAGGACTTGGGCCACCTTTCACTGCTTTTACAGGCCATACCAGAGAGCTGGATTGGAAGAGGAGCAGCCAGGACTCGAACGGGCACCCATATGGGATGCTAGTGCCACAGATGGAGGATTAACCTACTGTGCCACAGCGCCGGCCCCGATCTCATTTATTTTGTATTTAGAGGTATCCTGATTAGATGCTGCCTTAATCTGGGCCTGGAAATTTGTAATCACAGCAACTTATGAGTCAGGACCAAGGGTTTGTGGTGTAGTCATATTTTACCACCTCTTGGGAAACAATACTACAAAGTTTGAAATAGCCTCAAGGCCTATAGTCTATTACCCTCTGAGAAAGCTAAGCTAGGCTAATAAAATAATATTTTAAACTAATAAACATTTCTGGATGTGGGTTGTTTTGCAAAAGGGAAATTAATATCAAAGAGAAAAGTGAAACTAAATACATGATATAATTTTAAAATCAGGAAGGGTTTAGACTAGAAAATGTATTTCAGAAGAAATTCCACCCCACAAGTTGTGCTCTATTCTGTTCCATTACCTTTCATGCCTAAAACCTATGAATAAAACACCATATATGGAGGTGCTGCTGCTTTTAGATGTATCTTGCTCAAAGAGACTTGCATTGTGATCTTTCCCAGGTTTCATTCTAGGTTTTGGGAAAAATGAGAAAGAAATGGAGAAGGAAAATGAAAGAAGAGGAAAAGGGACAATGAGGGTGAAGAATTTCAGACATTTGGCCCATAATTAGAGGTCCTGCTCAGTTTTAATGCTAAAAAGATCAAAATATTCACTGTATTGTCTTCTGCTTTCATCATCTTTCACTTTTCCTTCATTAAGACTTTAAATTTTCTGACATCAACGGTATCCCTTTAAAAACAACTGATGCAGTGGCCGGCGCCGCGGCTCACTAGGCTAATCCTCCGCCTTGCGGC